CTGGGGGAGGGGCTGGTTTGTGGTTAATGGCAGCTTGAGTGCAGGTGGCCCTCTGCCAACTCCCTGTGTGCACACATGTAACATCAGCCACCAACATTTACTGAGCCCCTTGCAGGCTCTACAGGCTTGTGTGTGATTGTGTGTTCTATTGGCAGAGTGTGACAGCGCAGGGACAGCCACATGGCCTCTCAGACACAAGGACTTTGGGCAAGTCTCCAGGGCTGGATGGTGGGGTCATGGGCTGGTGGAGGTGGTGTTTGGTGGTGGGATGGTGGATGGTGGGATGATGGGTGCTGGTCCCCATGATGCCTTCTTCCCAACCCTCCAGAGACAGTGTAGCCTGGGAGTTACCCTTCCACTCCTGGCCCTACTCAGGCTCTGAACCTAGGCTGATTTGCAGCAAGAGGGACTCAGCAAAGACTCCAGGAAGAACTTCCTGTCTGGATCGGGTGCAAAGCAGTTTGGGGTAGGCATGACACTGGTAGCTAAGAGGGGAGCTTGGAAGGGAGAGATCTCTTGCCCATATCCTATGCCCTCTGGACTGACTCAGGTCCCAGCCCAACTGGGACAAGGATGATGTGTTCCTGGTGCTGCCCTCTGGCATATTCACTTCAGAATGGTGTAGGGGACTCCACTAGCCCTCATCAGGGAGGGAGACAGCTCCCTCCCCAATCATTCTGGTCCCTAGTTGTCTGACACATACTAGGTGCTCAATAAGTAACTGTTAAATGAATAAATGATTGAAGATAGAGTATGTGGAGGTGGGGAGTCTCCCTAGTCCCTCCCTGAGTGGCCACCAGCCACTAATGGCCCAGATCTCATCTCCTGCCCACCCCCCTCCCGCTCCTTTCCTCACTCCTTTGTAGCCCCCCCCAAACTCCTGTTCTCCCCCAGCTTCTCCCTCCTGGGCTGAGGGGGAGGGGGTGGGGGCAAGGGCCCCCGGCAGAGCAGGGCTTGCTTGTTCCTTGTAAATGAAGACCATAATTAACATTAAATTAAGGTAATACAAATGAAGGCAACATAGAGGCTGACAAGATGAGCGTTTGGGGAGGCAGTGGGGAGAAGTGATTCATATTTTTAATTTACTGTACGGATGGGCCGTGTGGCTGGGGAGCGGGCGGCTCGAGTGGAGGGGGTGTCGCCCCGCGATGTTTGCTGGGCTCTGAGCAAGCACACAATGACTATTAAACTCAACTGTCCATATAATGGGACAGATTCGACATGACGCCCACTGGAGCACCAGGAGCCTGGCTGACCAGGCTGTAAATCCTGCCCACACAGTGCCTGCCTGTCCACCTGCTGACCTAGCCTGGCTTGGCCCAGGCCTGGGTCTGGTGGGCACAATCCCCAAGGGGCCTGAGAGGGGCCTTTGACCTGGGCAATCATAGGGGCCAAAAGGGTGCAGGTTCCTGGCCCTGGCTGAGCTCAGGGTTGAGTCAGGGGCACTGGCAGGTCACATCTTGATCATGCTGGGGGTGAGGTGGGCCCTGGTAATATCCTCTCAGCACAGGACCTTGGTGTCAGGATGGGGCTGGAGCTCTGTGGCCCCACAAATGGTCTGATCCAGGAAATGAAGACACTGGTGTCCTCTTCCAAAGGGGAGCTGATTGTTGTCTGCATTATCACCATCACAGCCCATTTACCAAGCACCTACTACTATGCACTGACCCCCACTTCTGACTCATTAACTGGTTCCTCACACCGTCCTATAAGATACTATCCCCATTTTACATATGGATTAACTGGGGCTGAGAGATAGGGAGTAACTTGGTCACAGAGCGTGCAAGTAAGTGTCCCCTGCCCCTTCCCATGCCTCCAAACCCCAGAGCTTGGGGCTACCCCTGGATCTTGTAAACTCTGTACACAGAATGAGGGCCGGCATCTCATGCGGCCCTCACCCACTGGACCCTAAGCCTTAGACACAGAGCTCTCTGGGAACGTGGGTGTGGGTGCACTTGCTCCACCCTCCCTCCAGTCAGGAGAAAGGTGCCAACAAATCCCAGGCAGGCAGGGAGGGATCCCTGCTTACTCACTCTGCAAACAGAGCCTAAAGATGCTCGTCCCTGGGATGAGAGACGCAAGTGTAATTTAGGTTTTGATATTATGAAAGTCTCGCTGCTCTAAAACAGCAGGGCACTCGGTGCCTCATTAATAAAGGATAAACTTGGAGTCTATTTACAAGGCGCTTTTTGGGGTTATTTACTCTCCAATATACATATGTAATGTTGCGCATACTTACCGCTAGGTACTGCGCATCTTTCCAGCCTGGGTCTTGGAGTTACCCTGGGGAGGGGGGATCTCTGCAGGGTGGAAAGGGTCACTGGGGAAGAGGGACTGCACAGGGAGCCACCCCTGGGAGTAGGGAGGCTCTGTGGAAGATGACAAGGCCCCATGGAGGGAGGGAAGTCATAGAATTTTAGAGTTGGAAGGTAGAAGGGGTAGAGGGTGGACTCCACCTGTCTCCCCTCCCCCTCTCCCCCCTTCCTGAGGCTCAGCACCCTTAAAGATAAGGTAGGCGAGGCTTCCCTGCTGGGCCCCCAGGCTCTCCCTCCCAGCCCCTCCCTCTCTGTATGAGGCCAGGACATGGTGGCCTCTCTCACCAGGGCTCCTACTCTGACCAGATTCTGACCACACTGGGGAAGAGCCCCTGTAGTTGTGAAAGGTGGTCAGCCAATTCCTATATCACAAGCATGTCCTGTGCAACTGCTGTGCACCTTATCTTACACCAACCTGATCACAGCCCTGCCGCTCCCCCCACTGTGCCCAACAGTGCCTGCAGTGGGCATGGCCTTCCTCAAACCAAGATGGAGGCCACCTGTTTGCCCCGGGTGCCAGGAGGCAGCCACAGCAGAGATGGGTTCCCTGCAGCGGCTGCCACCTTAGCCTGGACTCTACCATATGTGCAGCGGCTAAGTGAATCTGCAGACATCTTATGAAATAGGGCACTGGTTTCGTCTTCATTTTATAAATGAGTAAACTGAGACATAGGTTAGGGAACTCACCCAATGTCATATAGCCAGAAGGTGCCAGGCTGAAATTTTAACCCATATTAGGGTTCTTATTCCTTGCAAGGCCTCCTCAAGGGTCCTTGGGCCTTAACTGCCCATCCTGGTCCCTCTGCAAAGCCTAGGCTCCGACCAGCCTATGGCACATAATGAGGAGCTCTAAGCCCCGCTCTCCCAGAACACATCTCCACTCACTGCCTAATGTTCATTCACTTAGTCATTGAGCATCCACCACATGCAGACTTGGGCCTGGACCTACCACCTGGGTTAGTGTAAGCTTATGGCAGTGGAGGCCTTGGTTGGTTGGTTAATGCACAGGAGAGCTTAGAGATAGGACTGCCTGCCCATATATCCCACAGCTTAGAGTTGGAAGGCTTTCTGTGCTTGTCAGCCCTGTGGATGAAGAATGTGTGGCCCAGGGCCCAGCCGGGGGATGGGGGGTGGCGGAGATGGGCAACAGAGCACCGCCCCCTCCCCAACCTGGCCAGTTTGGACCAAGGAGATATCTGGTGGCCTTGCCTTTTTGTAGGGAGCCCTGGGTGGAGGTATCAGGGTCTCACCAGTCCCTTGGGAGTCCCCATGGGTCTTAAAGGACATAATCACTATTGGGATGGAGCTCATGGCTGCTCTGGGCCTCAGGTTCTCGTATTCTTCCCAACCCCTGAGTCGGGGGAGAGCTGACCTGCAGGGTGCCGGACAGAGGGAGGATGGCAAGCAGGAGGATCTGATCCATCATTGTTGGTGAACAATGAGCCGTCACCACCCTAATTAAAGATGTAATTACAGCAAATACATTCCAGGCTGAGAATGAATGACGGATGGCAGGAAGGCACCTTGTAACCAGCACCCAGGACATGCTGCCCCCCAAAGCTCCCTACTCCAAGCTAGGGAACTGTCCTCGCAGCAGCGGCCCCCAGCCAGGGACAGGATGTCCTGGTGCCTCCTGACAGGACAGCGACAGGCAGGCAGAGATTGAGGCTGGGGCGGAAGGGCCAGGCAGGTGCCAGGGGCTGGGGTCTTGTTGGAGGACTGAAGGTGGAAGGCGGCCAAGAGGCCAGCATGAGGGGGACTGGGCTGGTGTGCGGCAGGCAAGGGAGCAGGGCCAGTGAAGAGTGGGTATCTCTGTGAGAGTATCACCAGAGCACAAAACAGGATTTCAGGGCCTACCAGCTTGGGGGTAATCGGGCCCCTGCAAAGGCCAGAGGGACCCATGGCCATTGACCCTTGGCCCTAGAGAGTGAATGCAGGGGGTAGGCCAAGGGGACTCACCTTGTATAGGGTAACCATAGTGGGGGATCTGGTGGGCCATTCTGGCTTTCAGGCCTGGCCCAGGTGTCAGAGGGTGGGGGTACTATCCTGAGGCCTGAGTTGTCCTTATCTGGGGTCAGGGTACAGGGCAGAGGACTGGCCACATGAAGAGGAGAGAGGGGGACTCCTCCCGGTGACTCCCTCCTTCAGGAGGATAGGCTTCCAACTACCCCCTCCACCTGCCCAGGGCCACCTCAAAAGTTGTGGGCACTGGCTGTCTGGGAGGCCGGGGCTCAGGATGACTTCTCTACTTGGGATCTGAGGGGGCATCTGGATTCCAAGACCTGTTTGCCCTGGTCCCCCACCCTCACTTAGCCTCAGGGAACAGGAAACACGGAGCACAGGGTCAGGTCACTCCGAGGCCAGCCTGAGCTGTGACCATCCTAGGGCCAAGGCATGAAGGCCTGCCTGGATGGGGAGCTCGATGGCCCCAGCCTCCTGGCTGTCTGCTGTGGTAGCCCCTGGCCAGGGTCCCTCAGGGCGTATGGGCTGACCCCAGGGGAGAGAGAGCTGGGGGTGGGAAGGGTGGGGAGACCAGGCAGGCAGGCAGAGGGGAGGGAGGGAAGGCCACTGACAGCAGAACAAATGCTTGTAATTTTATAACCAATCTCAGCGTGTCCGTGGGGGGCCGTTTGCGCCTCCACTCAGGACCAATCAGCCTGACAGAGCTATGAGTCTGCCTGAGTGAATGTGAGCAGCTTCCCCCCCCAACACCACTTACTGCAATCTCATTACCCACCCAGCCCAAGACTGGCCAGAGCTGAAGGGAGGCAGGGAAGGGGGATCCAGCCCACACTGGAGCGGAGCCAGGCCTGGGCCTGGGGCCAGGAGGGCAGGTGGGCGGCCTTGGAGGTCCAGTGGCTCAGGGGGAGGAGGACGGGAGGCAGGCTCAGGAAACGTTTACTGAGAACCCACTGGTGGCTGAGCACGTAGGATATGGACAGGGCACAAACCCTGCCCTCAAGGGGCTTGCAGTCCGCTGGGAGCAGATGGAAAGATTAGAGGGATGGGGCCTGGTGAAGGTGGAGATGGAGAAGTGACCCGAAGGTGAGGAGGGGCAGAGCCCTAGAACAGAGCCGGCACTGGGCATGGGGCAGGAAGGTGGGGGTAAGGAAATCAAGGGAGAAGGAACCAGAGGAACCTCAGCAGTGCACGCGGAGCCCCAGCAGAGAGGTACAGGGCATGGGAGAGAAACGCCCATCTGGGAAGAGAGGAGGGCAGCCAGGAGGAGCTGGCTGGGCAGTGGTGGATATTAAAAGACGGCCTTGCTGGATATCTGGCTCTGGGGATGGCTATGTGCCCATTAGTCTCTCTAATTGTCAAAAATCTAATTTAGTGTCTGGAGCCCGGGCCGGCCTCGGGTTAAATGGAGGGAGGCAGGCCTAGCCATAAATCTGCCCTCCCAGTCGGGGCTGGTGCTAATTCTACAGTTAAGTGAGGGGGTGAGGAGCGCAGCAGGACGGGACAGGGAGGGTTCTGGAGAGGGGCTAACTCCGACCCTGCATGCCAGCCTCCTGTGCTAAGTCATAGCCAGACCCTCCTCTCTTACTGGAGGAAGGGGACTTCCCTGGGCTCATGTGGACCACGCAGAAGAAGTGCCTCCATGTGTGATGAGCTCAGGACAAGAGTCCTCTCAGGGTCTTTTGTGGCTGGGATTGTAAACCCATCAGCCCCTCCTCCTCGCAGGCCCACTCTGGGGCTGTGTGGGCTCAGCTCCTGCAAAGTGATCGGTGGGAAGATTATATATACTTCCTAATAACATAGTGAGCCTTTGGTGAGGAAGGGGGCATGGGGATTCACACCACATGATCAAGTGACTGGTCATCCTGTTCACCAAACAATAGCCTCAGTGATGGGGACCTGTGGGCCATTCCTCAGTGGGGAGAACAAACACAAACCCTTGAGTGGCCTAGCCTCTCCTTCCCTGGGTCATTCCAAACTAGGTGCATGGACAGACTGGCAGCCGGACTGCGGCAGTCCCCGGGGGCCTCGTGTGTCCTTAGGCAGGGGAAGGCTCGGTAATGACCTCACTCCCCTCAGAGCTGCTAATTGAAAGCAAGGGGTGTGGCAGGCGCAGCAGGAAACGTTGGGGGACTGAGGGTTCCCTAAGAGGCTCTGCTTCCATGGGGGGAGGAAAACAATTTCTCCTGGCTTTGGCTCCATCTCACCAGGCACCCACCTGGCCTCTCCTGCTGCTAATGAAGTGCCTTTAATTAGCAGCCTAATAAAATGCTCTTAATTGGCAAGAGCCAATCAGGAAGAAGAGAGGTCTCCTCCCTTAGTCATTGCCGATGGTGGTGCAGCTCTAGGTTTCAAGGGGAGAGGGATTCCAGGCCAGCCTCGCTTTAGTGACTTCAGGGCCTTACACTGGTTTGAAGGTGAGACCCATAAAACCCAGGCCCGGCCTATGCTCAATTCTGGGCTCAGGAGACCGGCTGGTGAGTGACAACTGAGTAGATGCCAGTGGCCCGGGGGGTGGTCCTCTGCTGACTCCTCCCTTCCTGTCCTTAGTTGTTAGGGAGGAGACTCTACTGTGGTCTCAGGCAATGTGAGGAGGCCCCCTTTCTTGCTACTCAGGTTCCCCACCTGCAAAATGCCAGGTGTACCTGAGGCTCTGATGTGCCTTCAGTTCAAGTAGGGTAGTTCTGCAGTAGGGCCCTGACATCTAACAGTCTGAGAGAGCTCCGATGACCACAGTGTCAGTCCAGGTATGACAGGCACTGAGACCACGGGGTGACAGATCCAAGGAGTCTGGTCAAGCAGGGAGGAGCACTACCACTGAGAGCCCACAGATGGAAAATAAGAGGGAGTAGAGGGGGGTCTGTCTATGCTGATAACCTTGTACCCATCTTCCAAGGTTTGGCCAAGGTTTGGTTTAAGTAGGGAAGGGGGTGGGTTCACCTGGAGTAGCAGTGTTTTCCCTCAGATGGTCAATGCACCCTTCATTAAAAAAAATTTTTTTGGGGGGGGGACACCTGGGTGGGTCAGTCGGTTAAGCGTCTGCCTTTAGCTCAGGTCCTGATTCCAGGGTCCTGGAATCAAGCCCCACATCGGGCTCCCTGCTCAGCTGGGGAGCCTGCTTCTCCCTCTCCCTCTGCCTGTTGCTCCCCTCTGCTTGTGTTCTCTATCTCTCTGTGTGTCAAATAAAATCTTAAAAAAAAAATTTTTTTTTTTTTTTTTAATCTCTACACCAAACATGAGGCTCCAACTTAAAACCCTGAGATCAAGAGTCACATGCTCTGCCTACTGAGCCAGCCAAGCACCCTGCTCCCTTCATTTTTGTAGCTTGTTGGGAGTTTCTCTGGAAATTGCTTCTGAATGTGAGCTCACCTTTCCAGAAACTGACAAAATGGGATACAGGGGTAACCCATCTCAGTCACAGAGGAGTCAGAGGAAAATCTAAGTTCTGGGCCCCGGCTGGGTTGTGGCAGGCTGAGGCTATAGTGACCAGTTCCCAAATTACCCATCACTTTGGCTTTGGTTTAATTCAACATGGAACATTAGTTGTCTTCCAGGGGCCCCAGATTTTTTCACACCATTTGGCCCTCACTTCTCTAAATGTTTTCTCACGTCAGATTATCTTAAAAGATATCTATGCACTCCCTCAATTGATATATTGAAACTCATTGTCCTCTTGATGTTGGGGCAAAGAGACAAGACACTTAGAAAACTCACTTTAATCTTATATTTGTAATTTAAGTTACTTTTTTCTCAACAGTTAAAAAAAAAACAAAAACCAGAACACACTATTTTACCATGATCCTAGGTTCTGAACATACTGGTACCTTGACTACACATCACGAAAACATAACCACAAAAGTCAAAGCAGTCAGTACTTAAGAGTCTAGAGAACAGAGAGCTGAGCCAACTGAAAGCTCTCAGGGAAGCTCACACTCGTTGCCAGGCCTGCCCCATAGCTGGAGTCCAGCGAACATTCCTCACAACAGTCTGGGTGGGCTTAGGTGATCACTGATTTGGGAAGGTGGTAGTTTCCTTGGTACCCAAAGGTCTAACCCTCCTTGTTGGTCTTTTCCTTCAGTGTCCAAGAAGAGAAAGGGATAGAGGGGAAGGGACACTTTATAATGCCATTCACCACACTGATCCTTAAACACACACAGAGCCAACCATGAGCTGAGAGAGCTGGGTAGACTGGAGAGCATATGTTTTAGAGGTCATCGGCCTCCAGGAAATTTTGGATCATAGGTACTCAACTTCCAACAGAAGAGGTTTCCAGATATCAATGCTTTAAGTTCCACCAGAAATCAGGCAGCCATAATTGTGCTTTTTTGGTTTTGCTCCTCAGTTCCAAGTATTCCGAAGTCACAAATTAACTACAGATAAAAACAGCAGAAGCAAAACTCAGCTTTATTACCCTAAGAGATGGCTATCTTTCTGGCACTGATTGCGTTGAGCCAATGGTAAAGTAAGGGGCTCTGCTCTGTCAGTGATCAGCTATGTGGATGAAGCCCAGGGAGATGAACTCTGCCTTCAGGCTTTGGGTGTGCTGGTTACAAGTGAGAGTTATTCTAGGAGGGAAAAGGAATGCAAGGAGAAGCAAGGGCACCTTTTCATGTTCTCCGGGCTCTTGGAAAGTCTGTTCAGCTCACCCAAATAGGGAAGATCAGAAATGTGGATTAAACTCACATGGTAAACCTGATCATCAAAGAGCTGTGATGGTCACAGGTGGTGGGTATCTAAGCATCCCTTTTTCCACTAGGAAGTACCTTTCGATTCCTCCCGAATTAAGCTTGGAGCCTAGGCTCTCACGCCTGCACTATTCTGGGTTGGACTGCTCGCACTTCAGGCAGGAAGGTATTATCATCTAAAATAAATGGAAGATGCCAAGAAGGTCAACAATACCAAGGTATCTAATCTACTTCTAGGAAAGAAAAAAAATACCCTAATTATTTCCAATATCCCCTACCCCCCTCCACCCCAAGCCCTTGGTTTCCACATACAATCAAGTGCTAAGTAAGGAGTAGACCAACCACAGCTGTTCCGACCAATGGGTACCAGGAGACGGCAGAGGAGAAGAGTGCATATTTTCTTCTCTTCAGCTTATGACTTTACAAAAGAAAAATAAGAAGGATTTTTCTTACTCAAGCAGAAAACAGAATGATTTAGGGGTCCCAGGTTTGGTTTTTTTTTCCAGTTCAGAAACAAGTTATGAGGGCCAGACTTTATTACTTGTCAATAGAGTTCCAGAGAGTCCTGTCTCTGAAGTTTCTGGTGAAGAGTCACCAGAAAAAATCTTGCCAAGGGACAAGTGTAAAAGGCCTCCATTCACAATTCATGTCCACTTTCAAACGGCACATAAGAAAGGAAAAGGATGTTCTCAGCAGTGAAAATACACACATGTGCAGCAAGGCATGCTGGTTTTGTCCAAGCAGCCCAGGTGTGACTGGAGAGCTCCTGAGTGCCCAGAGAGTTCCAGGGTGCAGGCGCAGGTGCGTGCACACGCTCCTTGCGTGCCCGCCTTTGAAGGGGCTTCCTCCCATCTTTAAGAAACGCCTCTTTCAGGCCCACACTGGAATTTTAGTGAGAAGAGACTAATCTACAATGGAGACATGCCATTTCAGAGCCAACAGACTCCTTCAGCTCCTTTTCTACCATTCCTTTCAATGTATTGAGACTTTCTTTGTTTCTCTTTTCTTTTTAAAAAGGTCAAACTTTACATTTATTCTAGCCCAGTTGGGGATTAGTGATAATCAATTCCGACCGAAATCATGCAGAGATGGTAAGTGGGGTTTACCTTCTCTGGAAATGAACTTCTACTTACCTGATTATTTCTTCTACAATGAACTGGTAAATGACCCCCAGAGCTGAGAAATGAGACTGACTCAGTTTTTCAGACCACTTAACTTCATTCCCATTTCCATCAGCAGCAAAGGACAACTTGGAAAACATGCTCAATGGAGCTAATGGCTCCAGACTGCAGGGTCCACCCTTGATCTCATTTATGATGTACTGGACAAGCTTCAAAACAATCTTAGAAATAATCTACCTTCAACTGAACCTAGATGGGAGAGCAAAACCCCGGGCACCAATGAATATTCAACAGCTCCCACTTTTAAATAGCAGCATATAACAGAAGGGCTATTAAAGTTATGGCTATTGGACAATATTTTCAAACAGCTTGAAATCCACGCCCCTTTAATGCCTGACCTGTGTGTTACTCAGGGCTGATGGCCCTCTGTCTCACCTGTAGCAAAATCCTTAACCAATCAAAAAGCCAAAAATAGTCAACACAATAGACAAGGAACTCTGATGACAGCTAAATAGAAAACATTTCTCTGTAGCATTTGGGTGGGTGGGAAGGGACTTATACTCAGAAAATATTTCCCAGGCAATGACATATTACACTGGGAAATATTTTCTGAATATAACCTGGAACCAAAAGCTTAAAAGCTCTCCTGAAGCCGGAAAGGAAAAGCATATATGCATAACTTGCCCCTCAATACATAACAACAACATTCAGTCACATCAGAAGGGAAGGGTGAAGATGGCTTTCTCTCCCTCTCCCCCTTGCTTAACTAAAGGTGGTCTGGCTCTGAGGTCATCTGCAACTGGCTTCCATTCTGATGTTTTTACAGCAGCTGGCTAAAATGGGGCTTTCTTTTACTCAACTGCTTTGCTTAGGAACAGAAACAACAGGCCTGACTAGCTGCTCAGCTTCCAAGGGAAACTAGAGACTGCAGTGTGGCCTTGAACCTGTAATGGGTGTGCCCACACCACACGAGAGGGCTGATGCAGCCCCGTGCCTCCCCCGGGAAACAAGCTGGGCACATGCTGGTAGTATTCCGTGTTCCCAAGTTGGGGTGGCACACCCGCCCTGCCCGACACTTATACAGCTGCCTTTTAAGTGGCCAGGTTGGCCTGGCCCTTGCTGAGGTCCATTTGTTTATGTTGCTTACCAACTTCCAGAGAAATTTTATTGGCTGGGGAGAGTGGAGAGTTAAATAAGGCCGGAGGAGGAAGAAAAGAAAAGCGAAGGCAATTTCTGCCCCATTAGTAAACCCTGTGTGCCAAACTTCACCCTGATCCTCTTTCCGGCAGCTTTGCCCTTTTGTAAATACCAGGTTTGGGAAAAGCAGGAGGAAGGTTCTGCAGTGCAAGGTTGAGATGATTAGCTTGCTTTCTGAGAGATGATATTTACTGTTCTAAATGAGAAAGAAATCCACTTTTACCTCTGACCACCTCTCAACTACTCTGATTGTGGTCTTGGCAAAGACACAGGAGCTGGGTGTCCACAGACCCTGACGAGCAAATCAGAGATGTGAACCATTATGTGGACTGCACCCAGCGACTGGCTCTGGCCATTTCAAACCTTTCTTTAGGCTGAGCCTTACCAGTGATTTAAGATGAAGTACAATGCTTTTTATTACACATCTAATTGTTAATGAGAGGAAATGCAATCAGCAACTCCTTTGCACACTCTACATGGAATCGAGGAGACTGCTGAGTCCAGAAAAGATGTGGCCATTGATGGAGCCCAGGCGATTTCTGCCCCCACCCCCACCTTTTTAAACGGACAGGGGGTGCTGTTAGGAGAGAGAGAAGAGTTGCAAATATGATGAGAGTACCTTCTAAGAACCCACTGCTGCCCCACAGGGTCACTTGCAGCAAAAGCCTGGGTTTGAAATTTCAACTGGACAGCATTTAGCTCTTCCAAGTGTGGCATTTTCTCTGATTTGCCTCATGTTAACTGAGAACCTCTCTTCATACTCTTTCTTCTCAGGTGCAGCAGAGAAACAGGTTGAAGGAGAGTGGGGGAAAAGGGAGGAAGGACAGAAACAGAAAAAGATGAAAGGAAAGAGGCCCAGATCTTCCAGTGTGTATTTTTGTTTTCTTTCTTTCTCGCCCCAAAGGCCATACAGACAGCTGTCTTCTCCTAACCACAGTGGGGCTGGGCTGATCCTGCCAGGTGCTGGGCATTCCTGGAGTTCACAGGGAGAAAATGGGTGCTGTCTGGCTTGAAGCTGTACCCCCTGTCCCCTAGAAGTTGGTCTCCAAGAAGGCTATATAGGGAAACTAGTTCTTCTGCTTAATGGCAAAGCAAGAGAGATTCTGGCAAAACACTAAATATATTTATAAGTCATCTTTGTCTGGAACCAAATGAGGAAAAACAGGTGCAGAGAGGAAAGGAGGGGAGGTGAGGTGAGGTTTAAAAGTTCCAATCATTCACAAAAGATAAAAGACATCTTCTGATAGCAGCACGGAAGCAGTCAGCTGTGCTGAGTAGACCATCCTGGGTCGACTGCAGACCAACTGTGTCCCAACAGGAGTCTCAAAGCCCCGTTCCTCGGCTAGTCCGGGGAAGTGGGTAGTAGTTTGATTGTTACTGTTGTTGCTCATCCTGGTATTGGCAGATATGTTAAATACCGCAACTTTAATGAGTCCTGTGTGAAAACAGAGCACAGAGTCATTAGTCCCTTTCCCTACATTTCTCACTTGTTCTAAGAGGAGAAGAATATTAACTTAGCTGTCAAATGGGAGAAAGGCTCAGAGGTCCTTCCTAACACCTGCTCTCTGCCCAGGCCAAGCAGGAGCTTCTGTCAAGGGCTACACAGGCTGCGTGGGGACACGGTGGGGCTCACGGACATGCTCAGGGCCGCAGCGCTTGTGCAGTGTGACTCTGACGTACGAGTGACTCCGGCAGGTATATCATCAAGGTCTCACCTGCTCCCTGTGATGGTGGAGTAGGTGAGGCCAGCTCTGAGGTTCTGGCCCTGAGCGGCCAGAAGCATAGTTGTGCCACCAGCAGAAGGGGGGCAGCTGGGTGAAGCTGTCCAGCCTCCTGGCTGGAGGGCCCTGGCAGAGTGGATGAGGGTAAAGTCTGATTGTTAGAAGTGTGCACCAGACATGCTCCTTGTAACTTCAAGGACAGGTGTGTAGGTGGTGGCTGGTAATGTGGCCTGGAGATTAAGACAGAGGTTGGGACTAGAGATACAAATTTGAGGGTCACCTACAATGAGATGAGAGCTGAAGCCTCGGGAAGAGAAACAGCAGCCAAAACAGGAAGCTTTGATAAGGAAAAAAAGTCCGAGACACACTCTTAGGGGATGTCTGTTTCAGAGGTGAGAGGAGAAAGGAGACCAACAATAGAAAGCCAGGAAGAATATTAAAAATGGCAAAATGCCATAGTAATCTAATGAAAATTTTGTCAAAAGGAGGGGATAGATACATGACGATTACAGTATTACTAACGATGACCACTTTTTACTGAGGGCTTGTTCTGTGCTAGGCACTGTGCTAAGCACTAAGAATTTTACATAGGACATTTCAGTGCAATCCTCACAACAGCTCTGTGAGGTAGGGATTGCAATCCATCTTACTAATATGGAATCTAAGGCTCTGGAAGTTGCTTGCCCAGGGGTACACATCTAGGATTCTCACCTGCCTGGGTAAACTGGCTGAGGGATAGGAACGGTGTGTCCTCTGTGAGAACAGTGAGCACTGAAGTGAGTCCAGCAGGGCATGGACCACCCCACTTAGAACCACTACAAAAAGATACGCAGAAAAGTGTACTAAATCTGTACTTCGGCCATTGAACTAAGGTAAGTGTGGGAAATAAGAAATCATAATGACAGTACATTCCCCAGTAGTGCAGTTTCCCCAACCCAATGATAACCTCATTAATGGATTTGAACTGCTTGACGCTGGGTGTGATCTGAATATACCATTACATAGATAAAGATGAAATGTGGGATGTTCTCCTTCCTCAGAGGGAGGTTGGAGACTTGAGTGGGAGAATAAATGGAGTTGTCACCAACTCCGAACTACTATCAAGGTCTTTTTTGGAGGGGGTGGGGAGTGGGGATGAGGATAAAAAAGCCATGTTTTATAATCCAATGACACTGACAAGGCTGTGAGAAGTCAGCCAAGAGCTGTCACCAAGAAATTTTCTACTCACACATTATTTACTTGGTTTAAAGGGTCTCTTATTATAGGAACTGGTTTGATCTGGGAACTACAAAGTCACTGGCCTTATGGCTTACTCTCAGCTTTGAAACTGATTCAAATCTCATTTTATTTTCTTAACAATCCTATTAGATAACTGGGGCAGAAATTATTCATTCAAATCTAGATCAAGAATCATCTAGAATTGAGGCTAGCTACCTTGATGAAAGACAGTGTCCAGTGCAGCCCCAGCCCTGTCTCATGTTGTTGCTTCGCCTGCTTTATAGGAATTGGAGAGAGAAAGGGTACGAGAAGGCTCCATGAGCTAGCAACAGCCAATATTCCATCTCCTACCCACGGTGCTATTTACACAATTCTTTTTCATACCTGGGCAAGTATGAGGTCACTGTATGATTATTTATCTGGAGATGTAGGTGTATGTTCGAGAAGGGGAGCGGGGGGGTTCAGCTTGGGCAGCTGGGTCGTTTAGGAAGTCCCAGATGAGGATTGTGTCATCATGTGAACTACTGACAATCTGGAATTCATCAAACTGGAGTCGGAAAACTCTTCCAGAATGCTCCTAAAGCAGCAGAAACAAAAACTTTTGAACTACTCAAAATCAAAAGGACACAAATTCAGCAACATGTCAAAAGAAGTCTATGGAAAGACTAAGTGTATGATGATAATCTCTAATATTTAGCTGTTTCAAGAACACAGAAAAAAAGCAATTTGGATTAAAGGCAGAATGGAGAAAGTCCAATATTGGGCAGTTGATTTTGTACAATCAAAGGTATATTCACTAGAGCTGAGCCATGTCAAACAATATGCTAGTTTCTCACTGCTAACTCTCCTTGGTTTAGGCTGAATGAGAACATTTCTCAGTACCTCCCTGGCCTTATTCTCTTTCTGTATTTGTTGGATTCTTCTACAGTCAGAGGCCAAGGATTGATGAGCAATAATACAAGGTGGGCTGGTAAATGTTTATCAACTAATTCTCCCCAATTTGTAAAAGCATTCACATATTTTTGTGGTGTAAAAATTCCTACAGTGGTTAATTTCAAGCTACCCATGTGAGGTCAACAAGCTTGCAAAACTCATGACAATTTGACAACTGTCTCTCATTAGCAGGTGAAGCTGCTCTAGCGCACACTGGCAGTAACTACCACCTTGGTCAAGATGTAGACTATTTCCAGCATCCTGGGAAGTGCCCTCATGCTCCTTACTTCTCAATACTACTTCTACCCCAATGCTTTCATCATCAATTCATTTTTTCTGTTCCTAAATTTCATATAAATACACTCATACAGCATGTATTCTTTTGTGCCCGGTTTCTCTTACTCAACAGTGCAAGATGCATCTTCGTTACTGCATGTAATGTTCTTCTCTAAAATTACTGGTTGCCATTCCATAATACGAACACACTACATTTTATCTTTTCTCCTACGGTGGACGTATGGGTTGACTGTAGTTTTGGCTATTTAATAAAGCTGCTATGAACATTTATGTCCATGTTTTTTGAAGGATATATGCTCTCATTTCATCTAGTAGAGCTGCGGGGCCATGGAGTAGGTATATGTTTAGCTTTAGTATGTACAGGGAAACAGTTTTATTTTTTTTTCAGTTTTACAAAAGCTGTGCTAATTTATACTCCCACCAGCAATGTATCAGAGTTCCAGTTGCTCCACATCTTTACCAACAAACTGATACTATCAATCTTTTAAATTTTAGACATTTTGATATGTTACTGGAGTTTCAATTTGCATTTTTCTTTATGAAGTTAGGAAGTTCCCCCTCTATTCCTAGCTTGTTGAGAGTTTTTATTACGAATTGACACTGGATTTTGCATGTACTGATATAACAATGTGATTTTTCTTCTTTAGCTTTTTGATGTGATGGATTAGATAGCTGAATTTTTGAATACTAAACCAGTTCTGTCTACCTGGAATAAATGCCACTTGGTCATGGTGTGTGTATACACACACACACAGACACACACACATATATTATACATCGTTGGATTCAATTTGCTAATATTTTGATGAGGGTTTTATTTTTAAGAGTTACTTCATTTTCCTGGCATACTGCTACCTTTTAAGTAAGTATAGAAATTTTCTTTACTGTGAAATCACTAAATATAAGGACAGTGACAAGACTACACTTAGATTTTAAGAAAAGTGTTTAAAATATTACCAAAAAATCCTGCATAATACTCATATTAGTCATACAACTGTGTTTGCCTATTTTAAAAATATTTTAATTTATATTATGGAAAAGACCACATAAAATTTATGTTTATCCATTGTTAAGTGTACAGTTCAGTTTTTTTTTTTTTAAGGTTTTATTTATTTATTTGAGAGAGAGAGAGAGACAGCTAGAGAGGGAACACAAGCAAGGGGAGGGGGAGAAGGAGAAGCAGGCTCCTGGCCGAGCAGGGAGCCCGATGTGGGGCTCGATCCCAGGACCCTGGGACCATGACCTGAGCCGAAGGCAGACGCTTAACAACTGAGCCATCTAGGCGCCCCTACAGTTCAGTGTTGTTAAGTACATTCACACTGTTGTACAATCAATCTCCAAAACTTTTTCATCTTGCAAAACTGAAATTCTAAACCCATTAAACAACAACTCCCTATTTCTCTCTGCCCCCAACCCCTGGCAACCACCACTCTACTTTCTGGGTTTGACCACTGTAGATACTTCATGTAAGTGGAATAGTACAGTATTTGTCTTTTGTGACTGGCTTGTTTCACTTAACATAATGTCCTCAAGTATTATCCATGTTGGAACATATGACAGTATTTCCCTTCTTCTTAAGGCCGAATAATATTCTACTGTACGTATATACCACATTTTGTTCATTCATTCATCTCCTGATGAACACTTGGGTTGCTTCCACCTCTTGGCTACTGTGAATAATATTGATATGAGTATGGGTATGCAATTAACACTTTGAGATCCTGTTTTCAATTCTTTGGGATATACACTTAGAAGTGAGGGTGCTTTACGGGCGCCTGGGTGGCTCAGATGGCTAAGCGTCTGCCTTCGGCTCAGGTCATGATCCCAGGGTCCTGGGATCAAGTCCCACATCGGGCTCCCTGCTCCTTGGGAGCCTGTTTCTCCCTCTGCTTCTCTCTCTCTCTCTCTCTGTCTCTCATGAATAAATAAATAAAATCTTTAAAACAACAACAGAGAAGTGAGGGTGCTTTATCTTTAATATTTTGAGAAACCCCATACTGCTTTCCGTAGAGGTTGCACTATTTTACTTTCTTTACAAGAAGTAAATGAGCTCATAGATTATCATCTGTGTTCTTGAGACATATGATCTGCACTTTTCTTGTAATACCTTTTTTTGCTTTTGGTATGAGGGTAATGCTGGCTTCATAGAATGCGTTAGGAAGTATTCACTCTGCTTCTATCTTCTGTAAAAGATTGTGAAGAATTGGTATAATTTCTTCCTTAAACATTTGGTAGAATTCACCAGTGAACCCATCTGGGCCTGGTGCTTTCTGTTTTGTAATGTTATTAATTATGGATTCAATTTCTTTAATAGGCATAGGCCCATTCAGATTGTCTACTTCTTCCCATGTGAGTTGTAGAAGATTATATCTTTCAAGGAATTGATCCATTTCATCTAGGTTATCAAATTTGGGGGCATAGAGTTGTTCATAGTATTCCTTGATTACTATCCTTTTAATGTTCACGGGATCCAAAGAGATGTAAAATTGGGTTTAACATTTGGATGCACATAAAAGTGGTTAACAAAATCCATTCCTAACTCTCAGCAATCTAGGAATATAAAGAAGCTTCCTAATCCCCTGATAATGGGTATCTACAAAAAATCTACAGCTGACATGTATCTATATATATGTATATACAAAATGGTGAAAGACCAACTGTCTGTTCCCAAGATAAGGGCATCCACTCTTACCAATTCTTTGAACTTTGGATTGTAAGTCTTAGTCAGTACAATAAAACAAGAAAGAGAAATGAAAGGTACACATATTGCAAAAGAAGTAACAGTGTATTTCTATATGCTTGTAATACACAGCTCAGAAATTAAAAATTTTAAAAGCCCCCAAAATTAAAATATCATTTACAATAGCACTAAAAATATGAAATATGTAGGGATAAATATGACAAAAGATGTGTCAAACCTTTACACTGAAGGCTATGAAACATTGTTGAGAAATTTAAAGACCTAAACAAATGGAGAGAGATACTGTGTTCATGGACCAGAAGACAGTGTTGTTAATTCTCTCCAAACTGAGCTAGATTCATCAAAATCCCAGTGAAAATCTCATCTTTTTTTTTTTTTTTGGTTGTTAAAATTGGCAGATTCTAAAATTCACATGAAAATTCAAAGGACCCAAAAAACTTTGGAAAAGGAATGAAGTTGAAGGACTTACACTTCAAGAGTTAATAAAAAGCTGCAGTAACCAAGAAAGTATGATACTAGCATCATGACAAACAAAAAGATCAATGGAACTCAATAGGTCCATAAGTAGACCCACATAATAGAGTCAATTGATTTTTGACAAAGCTGCAAAAGGCAATTCAGAGGAAAAAGGATAGTCTTTTGAATTAAATAGTGCTGGAATAATTGGATATCTGTATGAACTTTGATCCATACCTGTACCATCTATAAAAACGGACTCAAAATAATCACAGGCCAAAATGTAAAGCCTAAAACTATAAAAATTCTAGAAGAAAACACAGGGGAAGATCTTTGCGACTTTGGATTTTTAAAGATTTTTTTTTTTTTTTTAGATACAACTGCAAATGACATAATCCATAATAGAAAAAGTTGATACATTGGACTTAACAAAAATTAAGAATTTCCAAAAGGTGCTCATAAAAGAATGAAAAACCAAAACATGGACTGGGAGAATATGTTTGTGAATCACTTATCTCAAAAAGGGCTTGTATTATCCTGAATATGTAAAAGAAATCTTAAAACTCAGTAAGAAACCCAACCAATTAAAGTAGCAAAAGATTCAAACAGATAACTTCACCGAAGTAGATATACAGATGGCAAATAAAAGCAAGAGAAGATGCTCAACATTATTAACGTTAGGTACATGCAAATTAAAATCATAATGAGATACCGTGACACACTATTAGAATGACTCAAACTAAGTATTAGTGAGGACGTGGAGTAACTGGAACTCTCATGCACTGTCACATGATACAACTGCTTTGGAAAACAGTTTGGCAGTTTCTAAAAATATGAAACATACACTTAACTGTTCTGCTTCTATGAATTACCCCAGAGAAATGAAAGCATATGTTCATTTCATTCTACACAAATGTTTATAAAAACTTTATTTATAATAGCCCCAAATTAGAAACAACCCAAATTTTCATCAACCAGCAAAAGGATAAATAAAGTATGGTATAACCATACAATGGAGTACCTAACTCAGCAATTTTTAAAAAGAAATGAACTATTGATATAAATCAGAATCTCAAAATAATTATGCTTAGTGAAAAGAGACAAAAAAGAGTAAATACTGTACTGTATGATTCCGTTTATAAAACCTAGAAAATACAACCTAATCAATATTGACAGAAAGCAGATCAGTGGTTGCCTGGGGATTGGAGTAGCAGGAAGTGGGGTGGGATGGGAAGGAGAGATTACAGAGGGGGCATGAAGATATGTTCATTATCTTGGTTGAAGTAGATGGTTTCACTGGTATGTACATGTATCAAAATTTATTGAGTTGTACACATTAAATATGTCCCCTATATTGTATATCGATTTTATCTCAGTAAGTCGGTTTTTAAAACTTAAGACAACTCAATAAATAAATGAGGACAAGATTTGAACAGATACTTCATAAAAGAAAAGCAAATAAAAAGATGTTCTACACCATTAATTATCACAGAAATGCAAATTAAAACTACAACCACTACACACCCACTCAAATGGCTATGATTTTTAAAAACTGACAATACTGAGTGCTATCAAGGATGTGGAAAAATGGAAAAATGGGACTCTTATACATTCCATCAGTGGAAATACAAAATGGTTTGCATTTGTGAACTCCCAAAATGCCACTCTGGGAAACAGCTTGGTAGTTTCTTTTAAATATAAACACAAACTTATCATAGGATCCAGAAATTGCACTCCTAGGTATTTACCTAAGAGGAAAGACAACAGTATGTATACACAAAAATCTGTACGGGAATGTTTTCAGCATCACTCCAAACTGGAAGCATTCCAAATGTCCTTCAACTGGTAAGCAAATAAACAAACTGGCACAACCACACAATGGAATACTACTCAGCAATACAAAAGAACAAAGTACGAACACAGGTAACAACATGAATGAATCTCAACTGAAGTGAAAAAAGCCAAATGCAAAAAGCTACATACTATATGATTTACTTCACAGGACATTCATAAGATAGCAAAAGCATTGGGAAGAAATCAGATAACTGCTAGGGGTGGGGGAAGAGGGGATTGATACGAAGGGGCATCATTTTTGGGGTGATGGAAATGTTCTAGATCTTGACTGAGGTGTTTATACACTGCAGAATTCAGAAAAAATACACTGAAAAAAGGTAAATTTTGCTGTATGTAAATTATACCTCGCTTGGATGTAGACTAATTGTAGATGAATGAAAGTACACATTTTAAAAAACGTGTGTGAAACACGCAGGTAAAGCAGGTCTGGTGCTGCAAGAATGAGCTTTAAATCCAAAAAGGAAGACAAAGAAACATCTCTCCTCTCTCTTCCCCAGAGCAGAGACCGCCAGATGTTGAGAGTTAGGATTCAGAACACTGGGCTTCACATGTTAGCTCTCCTCTTTTTCCTGAGTTGTGCTCCCTGGTGCCCCGCCTCATCTGCTTTTTCGAAGGGCAGCAGCTTTTAACCTCAGGCCATTTTCTCACGCGGGCGGTTGGTGAACACCATGATAAAGAATTTAGTGCTTTCAAAGGTGACTTTCCTCCTTTTGAGTCACTTCTTTCCTCAAATGTCAAGATGTTCTCGGCAAGGGGGTATGTGAGGAATAGAAGACATGGGATTCACGTGGCTGGAGGCAGCACGCCTTGAATAGGCTGCAGAGCCAGGGGGCTGAGCGGGGGCTCCCACAGGCTCCCACAGCACTTTTTGCAGGCACAGGTGTGCAGGTCCTCAGCTTCTGGACAGGTTCCAATTTGAGTAATTATGTTCTCGTCCCCTAAGTAACCCCTACTGTTTCTGGTAGATACAGAATTCTTACTCACTTCCTGTACTAAACTGTGGTGTGGAGTTGCTGTGCAGCCGTTAAACAGCTGCCACGTTCCTCTCCATATACAGTCTCTAACGCACTTTTGGATGAAAGGCGCTACATAAACATATTTTATTGTCATGTATTGGTTGCCTTTCCACTTAGTAGTAGGTTTTGTGAGCTTCTAACTATCAAATCCAGATCTGTATTCCACAGCACATCAATGTTCAATTTCTTCTCCTTCCTGTCCCCCAACCCCCTCTAAACAACGAGGCTCTTACCACAAGGGTCCGTAGACAGAGAGTCCCTGCAGGAGCACGGGGGTCCAGAGCAGCTACAAGATCCCACACTTTAATTTTTCTAAAGATCAAAAAGGGGACAAAAATCTTAATTAAAAGCAAAATTAAGGGACCACAGGAAGAAAAGCAAAAAGTCATGGCAATAAATATGTACGGTGAATGTGATTTATACGATAAATGCAGCTCACAGGAATATACAAAAACTTTTTTGTTTTGGAGACTTGGTTCTTGCATTCATTCTTGGGTAGAGGTTATTGGTCTTAACAGGGGAAAATGTACAGGTTTAACCTAAAAAACGAGAAATAGGTTAGCTTTAACCAAGCTGAAGATAGTGAATGGTAAAGTTACACCATATTTTGGGGCCAGGAAGAGATCTTATACATTAGACCTCTTAATGATATAAGAGGTCACTTAGACCGAGAAACCTGTAATTCTGAGGCATCTTATTTCCGGTCAATTCTAAGAATGGCCCACGTAACATGTACCAGAGGACTGGAGCCCACTGAAGAACTATGTAGTTTATACAAGCAGATGTTCATATTTTGATTTAAATAAGAAAAGTTTAGCCCTTCTAAAAATCAAATATAGGGTCATGTCTCCTCAAGGTAAATAACAGACAAAATCCAAGAAAGGTGGGAACAGATCAAAACCAGGGCAATCAGAAAATATAACGTAGCTGGAATATGTCCTCACACCCTGAACAATTTCCCAAGGGTGGAACAGTGATGGCTGACTCAAAGCAGAGGGAGTGGTCTATTCCTGCTGCGTAAGTTGTCTTCATCACTATAGCCAGCTCCAAAACTAAGGTAATGTTGTAAGGTAGTTTCTGGTATTTAAAAAGCTGTCAGTATGTGAACTACAGCCTTCCACCCCCCACGTCAGGCACCCTGACAGGAAGAAATGAGAAAGAGGCCTTCATAAGTGAATAATACACTTTTGTACGAGTTTACTAAGTGTTTAGCAGTGCTGGACATGGGATCCATTCACAACATGAATGGATTCTAAAACCACTGGAAATTAGACCAAAGAAAATAAAGATTACTAAACTTGTTGTCACCGAAATGCTAGGAGAAGTGAAGACAAGAGCGCTACACTTTTAGGAATTACTCAAAGAGATCCATATTCAAGGGCCTACCACACTATGCCCCAAAGATACTGCCTCCAATATTTCAGTTTTATTAGTAAGCCATTATTTTACACACATATCCTGGTATACTGGGTTTTCCCAGTTCTTTGCTTTATACGGTAAAACAGACAAGTATATAACCAAATAACTAAAATGTTAATGAAAATCATGAGCAAATAAATGATTGGGAAGAACATTTTAGAAAAGTAAACAAAGGAGAGGTGAATACATAGATTAGACACAAGAAATATTGTATCAGATGCTTTCTGTGAAATCCATAATCTTTCAGAGTCAGGGAAATACTATATTTAATCATCCTCAGCGAGGAGAGATCAAGATGTACATTTTTTTTTTAAAACCTGTTAGCCAACTCACCCATCGTAGGCCCCACTGACAATCCTCTTGTTATCGAATCGAATACAGCGCACCAGTTCCTCGTGACCTTCTAAGACTCGTAAACATGCACCACATTCTATGTCCCATAATCTGGAAGAGAAAATTGAGTCAAGTGAATTTTCATGTATTCTTTTCTAAGCTTGGCATGTTATAATAATATACTTTGTATGTCTTTAAAAAATTCACAAAAATAAAATCAATCAACATTCATACAAAAATGTGGTTGATCTCCTTTCTGTTGTATAATTCAGGCAGACAAATGTATGACTGAAGTTCATATGAAGTATATATTTTCAAAGCACAAGGCTTTATATAATCCTGTAACCAGGGTCTCCAGGGTATAAGAAGGATGAATTCAATGTACCCAGTTGCCTATGAAGGAAATGACCAAGCCAAGAAAAGTAATGCTTCCTGAAATCACCAATAAGAACGAGATGCAGAGTGCCAGTGATATCCTGTCCTCACAAAGCATGTGCACCTCTGTTACTAAGGACACTCTCTGTTTTCACCCACTGTCCAGGACAGTCTTTCTCTATAACGGAAACAAAAAGCAAGTTCTCAAAAACATTTATATACTAACTTAAAAAACTGGGGTTGCCTGGCTGGCTCAGTCAGAAGAACATGAGACTCTTGATCTCAGGGTTGTGAGTTTGTGAGCCCCATGATGGATACAGAGATTACTTAAAAAAATAAAATCTTAAAACTGTATGCTTTCAGGGGCACCTGGGTGGCTCAGTCGTTAAGCGTCTGCCTTCGGCTCAGGTCATGATCCCAGGGTCCTGGGATCGAGTCCTGCATCGGGCTCCCTGCTCCGCGGGAAGCCTGCTTCTCCCTCTCCAACTCCCCCTGCTTGCTTCCCTCTCTCGCTATCTCTCTCTCTAAAAAAAAAAACACAAAAAACTGCATGCTTTCAGACAAATCCAAATGAAATGACAATTTCCTTCGATATAACAATAGTTCTGTTGTTTTTTTAAATGGACTTTTCACCCTCTTAGTACTTTTTGAAGGAAGGGAGAGGATTGACAGATCTCCCAAATTCTATTCATATCTCTGTCATTCATCTTTGTGAAGGGAAACACCAAAAAGTAATTCGATCTACGGACTCTTCATAATTTCAAAGACTGGTAACTCCCTGGATAATTACATAATGCGAAGAAAACAAAAGTACACAAATTCTAGTAGGGAAACAAATCTTTTTTCTCTTTTTCTTCTTCTTTTTATTTTTAAGAACACTGGTGGAGAGAAAACACAGTTGGCTATTTATTAGCACTTTCCAACTGTACACAGGAGGAATTTAAAGAGGAGGGCCTTCAACCTCCATCTACTTATCACTCTTGTCCACGTCTTCATTCAAGCAGTACCTTTAAAACAGGTCTATCTGGTAATAAAACTATTACAGGAAGGAAACACATCAACAAAAGGCTTTGCTGTGCTTTCTTTCTGCTTGGGGCAAACTTTTTTTTTGGCAAACTTTTGACCTATAAGAAGCTACAGAAAGGAAAAACATTTGGGGCACCTGGCTAGCTCAGTCGAAGGAGCGTGTGACTCTTGATCTTGGGGTTGTAAGTTGGAGCCCCATGTTGGGGGTAGAGATTACTTAAAAATAAAAATCTTAAAAAAAAGAAAAAGAAAAGAAAAACATTTTATTATAAATATAACACACTCGAAGGTAACACACCCAGACTTCTGTGCGCTAATAATGAATGGCAGGGTAACAGTGATCCCTTCTGGGTAAGAGCACCTGCTGCTCACCTGATAGTGTTGTCAGATGAGCCACTCACGACCAGCCTGTCTCTGTACTGCAAACAGGCAATGCCGCGTTTGTGTCCATTTAAGGTCCTTACAAATTCACAAGTACTTGTGTTCCATACCTGAAAAGGAAATAGCATTTGGCAGTTGATTTGGTGTTTTTACTACTAAGATCTATGGCATTTGGAGTCTTGGGGAAGCAGAAAATAGCACTGAGCCAACAGGGCGAAGTCGACTTCTCAAACCACACCAAAAAGAGAGAGGGAAAAAAAGGGACAAGTTTAATTCACAATAACAAAGGGCTAATTTATAGCTGGCTGATATCACATGAGAATTCCTCAAATTGATTTACTCTTATGTGGTTAGTCTGGTTTGCAGACAAATTTTCTTGAAGCTAAATTTACCCCTACCCTTCTCATACTCACCATTATTTACAGGAATAAGATACCTAACTAAGATTTTCACACGGCTTATCTCACTCGTGGCCTTTTTACACATAGACTAGTGTCTGAATTAAATATTAAATTACTCTACACTGACATTTAAATATGAAATTTCCTTTGATCGGATTTTCACATGAACTCCCTTACTCTATGTTGGGGACTTACTGAAAAATGCCTCATTACCTTTATAGTCCTATCTCCAGATGCAGAAACGATGTACTTGTCATCAAAGTCTACAACATTGACAGCAGCTCGATGTCCGACGAGCACCCTCCGGAGGGTGATGTCAGTTGGGGAGGCCATATCCCATACAGCAATGGAACGGTCTTTGGAGCAAGTCACCATCATGCCATTATTGAAACGCAAGTGCAGAACTGCTTCACAATGGTGAATCAAAGTGTTTAGCATTTCACCTGTATTTACATCCCACACCCTGGAACAAACAACATTAAAAAGGTTATCTGAGGTTTCGAGGGTGCTCCTGGCTATAATCCTATTTGACCACCACATTCCCCACACATCCCGCCCCATTTTCATAATTAGTATTACACTCTACTCTCTAGCAGCTTTGAGGCTGAGGTGAGGTGAAGAGTTCTGATGGACCATGGGGAAGTGATAGACAGAGGGCTGGACTAGGAGAGCAGGAAAAGGAAGGGATAGGATGCTGCCAATGTGAAACCCTTAAGACACACTACTTGAAATCTGGGTGAGTTATGGGGAGTAGGAATGAAGATGCAACCACCATCACCTACTAACTGGGCCCAGACTTCAAGATTATTACAAAACTTCTGACATTCAGTCTGATACCTTTAATGAGATACATTTTAAAGCAGGCATCTGATCAGTAAGAGTAGCATTAGTGTCCCACGAGTAGCCCTCAGGAAGCAGAACTGACACAGGCCAAGAAACTTCTGTAACAGACTTAGTACTACGGATTTGAGCCTAATAACCCTGGATCTTCGATTTCACCATACCGGCCAGGTGCAAGATGAACTATACTCTTAAGTCTGAGGCCCTATTTCTGTGCCTTGAATGGGGGGTAGAGATCAAGAATAGCCATCCTGTTGTAAATGGGGACTTAAAGCAGCAGGGTGTGGGACGTTTGGATAGCTTGAGAATTTTGTGTGATGATATATTTAACTTTGATTACTCTCTTTTTGTATATTTACTTTGATTTTCATAACACATTTTATTTCCTTTTCCAACTTAACCCCATCTTTTAGAAAATCATTTTGTCCCTTATCCTATAAATGATGTTAGTCTCTACAATGTTTTAGCTTCCTTGAGGCACTCCACAGCATCAAGAAATGTTAAATGTCGGTAACTGTAAGAACTGAGTTTGCTATGCCTTTAAGTCAAAAGATAAGAAACAGGAACAGCCTTTTCTATTCACAGAGGATAATTTCGAATGGTAAACATTTAACTTCAGAGAATCTAACAACGCAGTTAACTGCCTTTTTTTGTATATATTTTTTTAAGTTACTTTTGATGCATTATGTTTTCTAAATCCTTTAGCTTAAGGCAAAACTCCTAACAGAGGTTTCCAGCAGTGCTGCTGGTACCCAGAACTCAAGCTACACTGGACTCCAGCAGCATAATGGCTGTGTCATCAAATCACTAACGCCTCTGGAAACTGAAGGCCCCTCCCTGAGTAAAGCTTGCAATTAAAAACTGCAGGGGACAGCAGGGGAGGGGCTGGCAAAGAGAGAGCATTGCTCACCTGTACACATTTTAAAGGAGATAATGCATGTCTATACCGCAGTTGTAACCACCTGAAAGGAGGCTTTATTCCATTCACATCATTCCTCTGTGAGTTGGTTTTTGTAAAGAATGCAAGGTTTATCAAGTTTCTATAATGGATGATTCCCCCAAATTAAAATAGAATACATAGTTTCTTCAGTGTGCAAAAATGTAAACTTGCCTTAATCATTCCTAAATCAAGGTTTCTAGGTGGACACAATGATGTGGAGAGCTGATGGTTTATTCTTCTTTAGTTATGAAGTTTCAGAACTGTGTTCATGCAGTTATATACAAAATTACTATCTATGACTAAGAACAGAGCAGATCTGATTTTCCAGAGTTCGAAAGATCATTGGAAATTTTCTACCTGACCGTGGAATCCGATGATCCAGTTATGATCACCCTCTCATCATACTGGAGACACAGGACAGAACCCGTGTGGCCTGTGAGAATTCGCTTGCATTCCAACGTGCTTTTATCCCAGATCTAGGACGGCAAACAAGATCCTTTTGATCAATGTGATAATGGGGTGCTGCTGAGACTTGTTGGCTTTATTATGTGTTTAATTCTCCAAAAGAATCAAAGCCCAGAGCAATGTGGAATGCATTCTTTCCTACAGGTATAGCTAAGCACTATATATATGTGCCTTCAATACTAATGCAGACTTTATCCTTTTCATTAAGGAACAGGGGTAGCCCTATAATTATGTGAGGCTCAAAGGAGGAACAGCACATTCAGTGTACTTTAGACAGAGTTTAACCCTAGGACTATCTATCTGTACATGCTTCTGGCGGGAAGCAGGTAACTGTCCTTTGATTCTGGCTTTGGGACTGGAAACAACCTAAAACTCTCATTTACTTTCTGGAAATAATGCTTAGAGATGATGTTTGGACTGCCTTATTAATGTGGACACCCTTGTTCATTCAGCTACCTTCCCATAACTAAACAGACCTCACCTTGATTGTGTTGTCTCGAAGGCCGCTTACTATCTTTTGATCATCATACTGTAAACAGTAAACTCCTTTGCTTGTTTCACTTCGACAGTGGATTCTCTGTAAACTATGTCTTCCACATCTCCAGTTAGATTCTATTGTCTGAGGAGAAGGAACGGTAAAGAGGAAGTAATTAGGAAAGGACTAGGACTAAATTCTTATCTGACTTTCATGGCAACCAATGACAAATGCTCAATGCTTCACTCTATTAAATATATAGACCTTAAGGCAAACTAAAAATGTTTTTAAAAAGCCACTATTTAAAATTATGTAACATTTTCCCATTTGCAAAGTTATTAAAGATTTATTTTCTAGAGCTCTGCTGCATATAACTCATTCAATTAAATGATAAACTGGTGGAAAGAGGGCAACAGAGGGCAAGCTATGAACTACATAAGGTTATGTGCTCAGTGCTCCTCATACATATGTGGTGGCCATTTCTACTAGTGAACTTCCAGGAAGGCTCAATTCAGAAGATATCTGAATATCACATTATAAGTGCAACTTCAACAGTCTCACTGCTATTGCATGAAGATATCATCTTCTCTCTCTCATTTACCTACCAGTAAACAATCTTTACAAGCTTTAGAATTTTTTGCCTGGCAATTCACTATATTTTACCTACCCTATTTACTTAGAAGAAATTTATTTTTAACCTACATTAATAAACCTTAATGGGTTTGCTGTAACAATGCTGTAACTGAAGAATGCTGATGATTCTCTAGTATTTGGCAAATACTCAAATATACATAGATTCTTACCTCAATGTCTTGTATAATTTTAGGATAAAGTGCTCTATAAAAAGAGTTGGGAGGAGCATTCCCATCAGGAGGTTTGTTTTTGAATAAATACTGTCCCCTAAAAAACAACAAATATTTCCCAATAAAAATCATAGTATTATACATTTACAAGGAGCTTCATAGTACTTCAAAGTGTTTTCACAGTTACCATTCCATATAATATCTATAACTAGCCTGGAAAGGCACGAAGCTAAGCCTGACTTCAGGAGTCCCATGTCAATGAATCACTTTCTGGGTTCTGAGGAACTAGGTCAACACTGATTGTCAACACGATGATTTGCAATGTAGCCATCACAGTATAATGTTATAAGGTCACCAAACAGAATACGTATAATCAGAATTTATCAACTGGTCTTTCAAACCTCTATAACACATAGATTCATTGGTCTTATCTTTTGAAAATTTTGTTGGTGATGGTAACTACTATCTCTGAACTGGGCACACGCCCCACAGTTTTTGTTTTTGTTTTTTTCCACTGAGTAAAGCTGTGCCAGCGTCAGTGGAGCCTAGCATCGTGGCAGGGAGAATGCCTCTGTCGTGGAGATCATTTTTTCTAGACTTCACTTACATGGGGTAAGGTGTGGTGGCAGCTCAGGCACCCAGGCTGCTCGTGATCGGTATAGCTATGCTTTAAAAGGAAAAATTCAGTTCATTTCGACAGAAGACAAAGGGAACACAGGAGTGTCCAGCAGCGGGTACAGAAGAAGACAAAGATGCCTAAGAGCACTGTGCTATCAGATCTAAGGCATGACACTCTTCCACAGGTGTGTCCCTGGCTATGCACAGACATACACTTATTTATTGCCTCTCCTTGATTCCAGTGAGCAACATTTGTTAGTATCTCCTTCCTTATGACAGCACATCTCTGGAATACTCATATCCCAAGCTAGATCTTTGCTACAAAAAAAAAATCAGTAAATGGCAATCACTTCCTGCTGGGTAAAAAATTTAATTCCTCATCCTGAAGTTAAGAACCCACCAAACACGGTGTGGAAGCTAGTAAACTCCACTATGGGTGTACTAACTGCTGTTCTCACTGGCACTGTGCCTTGCAAAGTGGAGATAGGCAGAAATGCCTCTGAGTGTAATCCTGGCACCAGAGAAATCATGTTTTCTCTGGGCCAGTCATCCACTCCTCCCTCTATAGCTCCATTACAATATAATTAATTGTTCAGTGTCTCCAGGAATGCTTTTCCCCTGCCCTCTTCCTACTATACACCTTGAAAATTAGTTGAGGAAATTTCCTATCAGGAAGGTAGCTGGCTTTCACTTCTGTGTTAATACAGGAAGGGAAATCTACAATGGAGAAGCTAAAATAATAGTTTTTAAAAGGGGGCTAATAGGAGCAAGAAACATGATACCCCAACATAAAGGGCAAACAAGACACATTATGAAATAATTCTAGGTTACAAGTACACTTCCCTGAACAATCTTATTCTGTAAACACACTGCAAGCAAACAACAGATTCGGGATGAAGAAATTTTAAGTCTGGTTAATAATTACAACTTCCTAATTTCAATTCCAACATCCTTTCATGAGGTGAGAATCACTACATTTATTTTGCAGATAAAGAAATCAAATGTCAGGGAGATTAGGTAACCTGTTCAAGGTCACATAGCCAGCGAGACACTGGAATTTGAATCTGACTTTAGAGCCTACACTCTTAACTACTTTACTGTCTCCAGGGGCCACCATCCTTCATAGATTCCTGTCCCCCTTTTAATCTCTGGCAATTGAATACAGGCATCCCAGGATTTTCTTCATACATAACGAAACTATCTCTACATCCCAAGAAAAGAGAAAACTCTGATCTCATTTTTTACCTCAGTGTATTTTTCATGCCTTGCCAAGTATCTAAATTTCTTTCAAGTTAAAGGTGCTACAAAAAAAGGTGGCAAGGTGTTGAAAACTGGTTTTTCAGTCTAGATCTGTGTTGTAAGTCAAAAGCTTTTATGATGGAAGCTCTCCGACAACAGGGACCACTTCTATATGAAATGCCTAGTACCTTTGAGAATGTGAGTACATGATAAATGCTAAATATTAAATTTAGAATGTTACCATAAAATGTGATCTGCTGATTAAGAAAATGGGCTTCCCCAAGTGATCTTTTATTATACTTTTAAGAGTTACCATTACTGAACAGAGAGAGCACACTCAATGTTGTTATTCAAGACAGAAAATGACAGAGTTCATGTCATGAACTGTCAAATTCATCTAGATATAAAATACAACAGTGGAGTAGAAGTTAAGCCCAAAGCTTCATTAGAGAACTAGATTTACTTATTTATTTTTGGTTGGAGGAGATGGAAAAAACTTTCAAAGCCAGCATTTGGGGAAAGGTATAACAGAAAGACTTTATTGACACAGTAGGCTTAGTAAAACAATCTGAAAGAAGATGAGAAAGTGATCATAGATTAAATTTTTTAAAAAGTGGGGGAGGACACTAACACAAGAAGAAAGGCAACATTTAAAAATAGAAGCAGCCACAGAAAGTCAAGGGGATATTAGAGGAGGTCTTCATGGTGTGGACAAATACTTGTAATTTCACGGGGCTCTATCAAGCCAAGATGACAAATGTGGCCAAAGACAAAGGAATATGGTCTGAACTCCGAAAGATACTCAAAAGAACAGGAATGGGTTCCTGTGGTTGAACAGACAGCAGAGAGAGTGATAATTAATACTGGATCCTAGATTATTCCTCAGCCATCCCTTCACATACCCCTTTAAAAGGCCAAAAGGCCATCTTTTCAATGATCTTCCTTCCTTTCTTTGTAACTAACATAACAGATCTTGCTATTTACTGCCACCCCCAAGCAAAACTGTGGAGCCTACGCTTATCTTTGGCATTTTCACATGCATCTGCCTTCTTCTTGCCTTCAAAAAAAGAAATCAGTAAACTCCCAATGTCTGATAAAGGTTTACTGTTATTTACACTCCAAATGGGAGCAAAGGATATTTTAACAGGGAAGAAAACCATTATCAGCACTATGGGAGTGAATAATCTCTGTGATAGAGATTTCAGGCCAGGAGTTCCAATTTGGAGGAGAGTCTCTTTTCTTTTCTTTTTTTCCCATGAGGGGTAGTGGAATATTCCTAGCTATCCTAAAATTCTCCTATGTCATCAACTGCTCTATATCTAAGGCTGGTCCTGACATGCTTAGCAAAATGATGGACTTTGAATCCCATACAACTATATACTTTTTTGCTTTTTTATACTATAAAGAGTTTATTTCCAAAGTATGAAGTAAGTTATGAAAAGGCTTCGGGTTTTTCTATATAGTGAAGTGAGAATAAGAAAAAACATATTTGGGAAGAGTAACACTTTGCTTTCATTTATTCATTTTTATATAGCCAAAGAATTGCCTGACATTTGCTTCCTTTAACTGAATTTGAGAGAAATTTTAAAGTCTTCCTAATAGCCAGAATGACAAAAATTTCTTGAAGCATTTGGTATAATACTTAGAGGTCATTATGTTTATTATATATTAATGAATTTCAAAGATGCAACAACAACAAAAAAGAAGCCAACCATATTTTAATGAAAATTGCTAAGAAAAGCTGATCCTCTTTTCTTAACTGTTTTGTATCTCTTTATGGTCCAAGATAAATAATTGATAAAATTAATTGCCTAAGATATCCCTTAGCACACATATGCCTACTGGTGCATATCTATCAGCTAAAATACTTAATATGTCACCTTTATTTTACTTATGAAATATTCACACCTGACTTTCTTATAGTGACATTCTAGAGACATCCTCTGAAAGTACATATAGAAGGCATCTTCCACAAGTTCGAATGAAATGGTACCTTTATGTTAAAAGAACAACAAAATTGGTTAAGTCTCTTAGGCTGCTAACTATATAATGCCTTAAGGAATTTGGGATTAAGCAGTATAATCTTGAGAAAATATGGGTCTTATGAAGGAAACAGTGATATACACTAGGATCCCACATTTCACTCTTTCTGATGGCTAGAGTTCTTATTCTAGTTGAGTGTAAAAATAATTTTGATTACAAAGGTGAGAAAACACCACAGGCATGGATTAAAGACAAGAAATCTTCTGAAGGAGAAAATACTTATTTGTTCAGGATTGTTTCAGGCATCTGATGGCTTCTGTGTGATTTGAAGTCACCTGTCTTACAAACTGCCTATCAGACCTTTGTCAGGACACTAGTTTCTGCCCAGAGAACAGAATGCTCTAAATGGAAGTCAGTTTTTGGGTGCCTGGGTGGCTCAGTTGGTTAAGCGACTGCCTTCGGCTCAGGTCATGATCCTGGAGTCCCAGGATCGAGTCCCGCATCGGGCTCCCTGCTCAGCAGGGAGTCTGCTTCTCTCTCTGACCCTCCCCCCTCTCATGTGCTCTCTCTCTCTCATTCTCTCTCTCTCTCTCAAATAAATAAATAAATAAAATCTTTAAAAAAATAATAATAAATGGAAGTCAGTTTTTAATAATTTTTGCAAAGCAGTATTAACACATTATTATGTCACTTATCAATGATTGGTCAGAAGAAAAACAGCTAAGTACATGTACAAATATTTTACATTTTGTGCTATAAACCAGCTGAATCATTATATTAAATGATAAGCAGTCTCACTGGTTCCCAGTGTTATTCCAATGATTCTGAATGGCCAGGTCCTGAAGCTCATCTATAATAGCAAGAAAGTTAAAAGGCTCACCACCCTCTTCGTTCTGCCAGGCCTCTCCACAGAGAATCTGTCCTGACCATTCTCTCAATGAGCTTCTTCCATAACATGCCATCAGATGTCACTCGGTACCATTCCTTACATACAAGTTCAGCAGCACATAGTGATTTGGCATCCAGGTATGACAGAATGTTCTCAGCAATGTGATCCAAACCCCGAGCTGTTGGGGGGTGGAGGCCAAGAAGAAGAATATAGGTGGTGAATGATTTTTCACAAAAGGTCCTTGAAAACAGAACAGCATTTATTCTGCTCTGAAGGCACATCATTGTCCCTAGTGTGGTCCGGTTTCTTTTTCAAACAGAAACTTGGGTAAAATGAGTGTCAATAATTTTTCCATAAGGTTACAGAAATGAACAGTATTTTCCATCTTCCTTTAGATAAGGAAGTTAAAGCTAACAACCAGCAAACCCCCCAAGACATTAAAAATAAAAAGGATTCCAGAAAACAATTCACATCTATCTATATGGATTTCAGCACTAGGGGATGTTCTATGGATGGCATCTCAAAGTCTGTGATTCAGACCCCCCCAAATCTCTATATTAGGTCCATTTCTCATTCTGTTTCTATTACTGCTGCAGTTCCAAAGCTGTTCAGTAAAAGAAATATCCTTTAAATGTACTGGAGGAGAGGCACTAAGTCAGAATGTGCTGGGTTATAGAATTTTGGGCATGCAGAAAGGAGAGAAGAAGGAAATACAGATTGGTATAGGAATATCCCGAGAGGAAAGACAGAGAGGTATGTTTAAGTTCAAGTATGAGTTTAATTTCAGATGTTTAAAACAACTATATTTGACAGTAGTTGCTGCTATAAAACCTAAATGACAGTTGACCAAAAAAACAAAACCAAACAAAACAAAACTCCAGGCCAATAAATAACTTGGTTAGCATTTCAGAGACCGTTTTGTAGGATGCACAGAGGAAAACAGTGGAAGTAGATCTTGGGCTGCCTAAACTGGATGCCCTTCCCAATTAAAATACTCTACCACCCAAATCTCTACTGAGGCCTCAGAGGACTAGATCCTATAAAATAGGATGATCATACTAATAAAGCTTTTGGCTGCTGTTCTAATTCACAAGTGAGACAAACACACTCAAAGTTATTTCTCTTTCAGGTTACATATCAGAGGTTTGCTAAAGACTTAAATAGTGCAGAAGGATTCCTTCATACTCCGACTCCCTGAGGCACAAACTTAACAAATAGGAAAGAGAATACCACATTTCATTTTGTGCCTTTCCCTTGAATCACACAAAGACACACTTGGACGCCATTAGCAACAATCCAAATGTGCTTAAACATTATTCTAATTATAAAATTGTATGGATAGCAGTCACATTTTTCAGCAGATTTGGAAAAGAAAGCATTAAATGGATTTTGTTTGGCTGGCATCACATGTTCATATTTAAGCATAAGCAGATGGAGGCATCCATCACCTAATTCTTATTAAAGGAAAATGACTATAAGCCAATTAAAGATATAATAATTAGTTCTTCATGCAAAAAACAGTGATGGTACAATTCCTGCATGTTTAAATTGAAACTTTCTACACCATCAGAAGTTTCCAAAATCCACTCCTGTGTTTTTAATGGCTATCATCAAATTGTTCCTGATCTTTCACTGTCCCTACAGTAAGTCTTTGGAAGTAATTTCACCTAACACTCCAAACAAACCCATTACATTAATGGATTATAGGCATTTCTGGACGTAGTTTGGTTTACTAAATGTAGCCAGATGGTGTAGGTTTGTAAGTTAAAATGGCCATAAAACATTAGACTGATGATTTAATACCTTATAAAGTGGTCAGCAGATACACACCAGGGATCAGGATTAGGCAAAGGATGCACAGGTCTAATCAACTCCTGTTCAATTCTTAGTGGTGGTATATGCTTGAGATAGTAGCATGTCTCGGAAATTGGGGAGAGCACAGTAATGAGGTACACACAGATTGTTCACACAATGAAAACTGTTTGCCTATGGCTCAAACAAAATCCAATGAGTGAAAAAGGGGCAGAAGTCTATTCTATTTAACAAAAAATATAGGTAAAAATTTAGCTTTAAAATGGTTATTTCTAAGCTATAAATAGGTATTTCTTTTGTTTTAAAGGGTGATTTAAATTCCAATTTTGGAAAAACAAATTAAAAAAAAGATAATTGGCAAAGATTAAGCAAAGTAGTAATACACAGTTTTGCAGAGGGTTGGTATATTTTTCATAGAGGACAGTTTGGCACAAGTATTAAATCTTGAAACTGTTCATAATTCTTTAATATAGGAATCCCACTTCTGTTATTTTTTCCTAGGATGCCCAAAAGATCAGTGAGTAAGAATGTCCACCACAGCAAAGTTTATAGTAAGAAAAATATTTTGAACTACCTAAATGTTCAAAAAAGGGGTTAAATAATATGAGCTTTGGCCATCAGAAAGAATATGTAATACTATAAATAATTATGTTTTAAAAGAACTCTTAGGAAAATACATTAAGAGAACATAGTAAGAAAAAAATGCTACAAAAACATACGATCCCAGCTTTAGAAGGAAATATACACAACTAGAAAAAATAGTAAGGCCAAAATATTAATAGCACATTAGCAGCTCTCTCTGAATGGTGGGGTTCTGGGAAATTTCATTTTTATATTTTAAACTGTTTTGAATTCCCTAAATTTCCTATAACTTCTGTAATCAGGAAACTGAAAAAAAAAAAAAAAAACCAAGATATGATATTTTATAGATTCATTCATCTTTGTACTCTATTTTCTTCTTTTTTTGAGAGATAGAATGCTAGCAAGCCAGTGTGGGGGAGGGACGGGGGAGAGAGAGAGAATTGAGCCCAAGGCAGGGCTTGATCTCCCGACCCTGAGATCATGACCTGAGCAGAAATCAAGAATCAGACGCTTAACCTGACTGAGCCACCCAAGCACCCCTGCACTGTATTTTCTTCTAAAATAAACTTTTTTTTTTAAGATTTTATTTATTTATTTGAGACAGAGAGAATGAGAGAGATAGAGCACACGAGAGGGGGGAGGGTCAGAGGGAGAAGCAGGCTCCCCGCCGAGCAGGGAGCCTGATGCGGGACTCGATCCAGGGACTCCAGGATCATGACCTGAGCCGAAAGCAGTTGCTTAACCAACTGAGCCACCCAGGCGCCCTAAAATAAACTTTTAACAAAGAGGACAACCTTATGTTTTCTTGAGATAGCATTTGCCCCCAATACTGATGTCTACATAGTGTCCTAGGATCACCATATTGAGCATTCAGTAAAACCACATCATCCTCCCCCCACCCACAAAAGTACTTTAAGTGTGTGTGCGCATGTGTGTATTTATTTATTTTATTTATTTTATTATATTATGTTAGTCACCATACAATACATCATTAGTTTTTGATGCAGTGACCCACGCTTCATTGTTTTCATATAACACCCAGTGCTCCATGCAGTATGTGCCCTCCTTAATACCCATCACCAGGCTAACCCATCCCACGCATGTGTGTATTTAAACATATATATAGTTTACGAGAGCTATTTGGTTACTGAGAACAGTGAGACTGCAAAGCCAGGAGTTTACATATTTAATGTCATAAGACTCCTGAGATATTTTTCTTTCTAAAATACTCAATGAAAAATGTTTCCTATTCAGTCCTATAATTTAAATATTCTGTTGATAAATTCCCATAGAAATCTAAATCCAGGGCACCTGGGTGGCTCAGTTGGTTAAGTGACTGCCTTCAGCTCAGGTCATGATCCTGGAGTCCCAGGATCGAGTCCCACATTGGGCTCCCTGCTCGGTGGGGAGTCTGCTTCTCCCTCTTACCCTCCCCCTCTCATGAGCTCTCTCTCTCTCTCCCAAATAAATAAATAAAATCTTAAAAAAAAAAAAGAAATCAAATCCAAGTATATAAGTTAGCATATCTTAAAAACTAAGACATATTATTGAGTAACACTTCAGAAAATATATCATTTGCATCTCTGAATGGGTTAAGAACAGGATGACTAGAAGGGCATGAGATATGGAGAAGACAGTGGAAAGAGGAGTCTCTAATTCCAGAGTGTGACCTGGGGTATTTATACCTCAAGAAGGTACGATTAAAGGACTCAGTTTATAAAAATCAAGCCAATAAAGACTTTTAAAAAGAGAGATGAAGATCCAGTTCCATTACCATTGTAACATGTTTTCCAGGCAAATTAATGGCCCACAAATACCCGTAGACATACCTGGCAAAGCAGTTATGAAATCCCTCTGCAACATAGGTTTAAGATACGAGTTTATGTGCCCATGTTGGTAATGACACATTTGGGATATAAGATGTTCCACAAATTCCACTTGATCGGACTCTGACCACTGCTCAAAATATTTGACACACAGTTCCTTTTCCTTCTCATAGCTTGCTGAGAGTTTTCGTTGCTTGGGCACAATCATACTGGAAGTGCCATTGGCAAGTTTTGTCTGTAGAAGGAGTGGATTAAAAGAAACAAAAAACAGTAACTATCGAAAATGAGGGAAATAAATACTTTTCTGATCTGGCATGCTATGTTACGTCTGTATGTTGGAGCTCACTCTGTTACTCATTAAAATGAATTGGATTTTTGTGAACAGCGATTACATGGAAAGCCACACAAAGACCACAGTAAATTGGTAAATCAGGAATAATGCTGGACAACTAGGCGTCCATTTCTAAAAGTTCACAAGAAGATATTATTTGGACATCTACACATGAAAACTGAAAGCTGAAAGCAGGTTATTATTACTAGCAAGTGAAAAAGCTAATTTGCTTTTTCTTGTATACACGAGTTATTGGACATTTATACAATTACTTACTCACAACTTCTTTTTTAATATAAGAAACCTTCCATGCAAAGAAAGGCTGATGAATAATTTGAGACTCTAGTACCTTTGGAGATAAAGCTTTACTGTAACATTTATATGCTCAATCTACCCTTTTCCTTCTAAAAAAGAAATCAAAATTACATGCCATAAAATCTTTTTATTAATTAGTTCATTCAGTAAATATCAATTGGACACCTACAATGTGTCAAACACTGTCCTAGGTGCTAGGAATACAACACTGAACAAAAGTAATGGTCTCTATCATCAGGCACTTATACTGTAGTGTGTACAGCAAGATCAAACCATTAAACAAATAAATGGAAAATACAATGTGGATAGTGCTATTAAGAAAAATAAGGAGATAGAAAAAAATGTACGGGTTATTGTAGTAGGCAAAATTCTAAGATGATTGCCCCCAAGATTCTTGGCTCCTGGTGTACACATACCTTCTCTCAGCTATGCAAACAAACACATAGGTACTGCTTTGATTTAATTAAGGTGCCAAATCAGCTGACCTTAAGATAGGGAGATTACTGTGATGAGCCCTTTAAAAGCAGAGAGTCTGCTCCAACTGGTTGCTGAAGAAGAAGGGGGACCACATGGAAAAGGATGTGGTCAGACTCTGGGAGCTGCCAGAGCTGCCAGATGACAGCCAGTAAGGAAATGGGGACCTCAATCCTACAAAGGCAAGGAACTAAATTCTGGCAACAATGATCTGAGAAGAGGATTTTCCCTCAGAGCCTCCAGATGTGAATTCAGCCTGGTCACCATCTTCATTTCAGCCTTGTGATACTAGGAGCAGAGGACCCCCAGCCATGCTGTGCCAGAATTCTGACCTAGAAAACTCTTGAGCTGATGAATGGGTGCTATTTTAACCTGGTAATTTGTTATGTAGCAATTAAAAAAGCACAAAAAAACTAATATAATTATTTAAGTCTGAGGGGTCAGAGATAGTTTCTCTAAAGAGATGACATTTAATCTGAGACATGAATGAAATGAGGGAACTAGACATTTTGTCACATGGGGGGAAGAAAGGTCTAGGGCAAGGGGAATTTGAGGGCAAAGGTCCTGGGTGGCAGTCTGTCTGGCATTTTCAAGGAACAGGCAAGAGGCCCAGGGTGGTTTGAAACAAGTGAACAAGGAGAAGTAAAGTTGGAGTAGTCCAAGCCAGATCATCCAGGTCATTTAGGTAGCGGTAGCTAATCTCCAATGATGGCTTGAAACAATTCCATCCCTCCCTGAACATGAATGCTGTTCCTCCCATGAAAAGGTAGAGTTTTATCTTAGCTTTTGAATCTGGGCTTTGGCTAACAGAATGTGGAGAAAGTGACATTCTAGGACTCCTGAGCCCAGGCAGCTTCTGCTTACTTCTTCTAAGAGCCCTGAGCCACCATGTAAGAGATTCAGGATACCCTGCCGGAGAGGGAAGTTGGGAAGATGGGAAGCTATGCAGAGAGAGGGGTCACATGGAGAATCACCTAGAAGCCTGAGAGTAACATGATCTGACACCTTCTAAAAGGATCACTACTGTGTGGAGAACAGACTGTAGGGGGCATGAATGGAAATAAGGAGACTAATTAAGAGACTACTTCACAGTAGTCCATGGAAGAGAACAATCTTTTGGACTTGAGGGGTTGCTATAGAGGTGGTAAGAAATAACTGGGACTCAATGTATATTTTGAAGGCAGAGCAAACTGAATTTGCTGACAGACTGGATATGGGGTATGAGGAAAAAAAAAAAAAAAAGAAGACAAGGATCATATGCAAGTTTGAAGGCGGGGACACTAGGAGAAGATCCAGAAATCAACTGAAACTTTTGCTGCTCTGAAGAAAGTTGGCTTTCTTTAGAGGATATCACAAAGTGGTACAACTGGGTACTTTTCAAAGTAATTTGATAGATCTTCGGCATATTTGCCTGAGGCAATCCCAGTTTGGCAGGGAGGCCAATGTTACTATAAAGCTTATACCTGCCTGGACATATTTAATGTACCATAAAACTATCAAATTTGGATAATCAACTTCTGCTATTTAGGGCATAGGCTGGCTTAATTTCTAAATGTTAAATCCTGCATATAGGCTTCTTTACAAATGATTCCCGATACACGTCTGAAAGTATATTTTCAAGAATGGCATAAAAAAACTGACACCTGTAAAGAGCAAGCCCTGGTGGGGCGCCTGGGTGGCTCAGTCGTTAAGCGTCTGCCTTCGGCTCAGGTCATGATTCCAGGGTCTTGGGATCGAGTCCCACATCGGGCTCCCTGCTCCGCGGGAGGTCTGCTTCTCCCTCTCCCACTCCCCCCTGCTTGTGTTCCCTCTCTTGCTATCTCTCTCTCTGTCAAATAAATAAATAAAATCTTTAAAAAAAAAAAAAAAGAGCAAGCCCTGGTGTATGGAGTTGGATGTTTTCTAGCATAAATGCCATTGTTGTCTATGATATAGACTAAAAATGATTAATAAGAACCTTGTTGGATACAGGCCTTGGGGGGCTTTAGAGCTGCCTTTTGTGTAGGTTATTTGTTTGCATTTCAGAAAAAGAAAACTTTTGAAATATGAAGTAAGATTTAGTGAGCTAATGAATGGGGGTAGGTGTACAAGCTTCACCAGATGCCACCTCTCATCTCAACAACCCAAACCTCCCACTCCATCATCTTTTATAAATTTGTCCTTTTGTCTTTTAAAAGGTAGAAATGGACCGGAGTTGGATGCTACCCAGGGTACTGTTTTCCAGAAATGCCAGTAACAGAGAACAATAATCAGCATGGTAATGAAATGATTCTATTTATAACCTTCAAGAAACCAGATGTTTCTATAATCACAGGGAGTCATGCTTTGATCAGTAGTTATCAGACTAGTAACAGAAAAAAATGCCTAAGGATTTTACAAGTTTGATTATCCCACTGCAGGAGCTAAAGTTCAGTCAGGACTTTACTTTATATATATATATAAAAGATTTTATTTATTTGAGAGAAAACGAGAGTGAGAGAGATCACAGAGGGAGAGGGAGAGGGAGAAGCAGGCTTCCCTCTCAGCAGGGAGCCCAATGCAGGACTCGATCCTAGGACCCTGAGATCACGAAGACTGATGCCCAACCAACTGAGCCACCCAGGCTCCCCAGGATTTTCTTATATTTCCAATGATCAAATCATAAATGGGACCTAAAACGTTTGGCTATTAGAAATGAAGTATAAACTGAGAGTTCATGAATTTACCAACTGTCTAGGCTACTCCAGCTGGTATTGCATTTTAGTTACTACCCCAAAACAGAGTATTTCTCTGTGAGGTAGAAAGACACACACCTCAGATCCATCATCACTTTGAACGAGTTACTTACTCTTACCACTACACCACACTGTATTAAGAGCTTTGGTCCTACAATACAAAGACCTGGTTTCAAATTCTAGCTCCTCAATTTACTAGCTGTGTGTCATGGCATAAACAACTTGATTTTTTTCCCCTGAGTCTCTGTTTCCCTCATCTGCCAAATTACAGGATATATTCCATTGGGTTTTTGTGAGGATCAAATAAAATAATCTAAGAAAACCATGCTTAGCTCACCACTTGGCACACAGTAAAATGCTCAATAAATCAACACTCTTAATGAACTTCTGACACTTCTGGAGTTGGACTTTCCCTCTCCTTTTGAAAATACATCCTTCTTTCTCACTGTGTAATATATATTTTTCTGTTTTAATTTTCATTGCAGTATAATGCACATAAAATGCATAATCTCAAGTGTATAGCTAGATAAATTTTCAGAATATAACTAGCACCTAGAACACGAAACAGAGTGCCATGAGCCTTATGAGCCCTGCCTTGAGCTCCTTTTATTGGGTCACTAGCCCCACCAAGGGTAAGCACTTCACTTACTTCATTTTTGTAAAAAATGTACTTTTTTTTTTTTTTAAAGATTTTATTTATTTATTTTGACAGAGACAGAGACAGCGAGAGAGGGAACACAAGCAGGGGGGAATGGAAGAGGGTGAAGCAGGCTTCCCGCTGAGCAGAGAGCCCGATGTGGGGCTCGATCCCAGGACCCTGGGATCATGACCTGAGCCGAAGGCAGACGCTTAACGACTGAGCCACCCAGGCGCCCCAAAAATGTACTTTTTAAAACTGTTTGCCTATACAGTTTACAGTAGCATTTAAAAAAATATGGGTGCCTGGGTGGCTCAGTTGGTTAAGCAACTGCCTTCAGCTCAGGTCATGATCCTGGAGTCCCTGGATCGAGTCCCTGGATCGAGTCCCGCATCGGGCTCCCTGCTCGGCAGGGAGTCTGCTTCTCCCTCTGACCCTCCCCCCTCTCACGTGCTCTCTCTCTCAAATAAATAAATAAAATCTTAAAAAAAATTGAAATAAAAAATAAAAAAAAATGTAATACTTGGGAATAAACTTAACATATGTGTTAATACCTGTAACTGAAAACAACAAAACAGTGCTGAGGGAAATTTAAAAAGACCTAAATAAATGGAGAGAGATACTATGTTCACAAATGGGACTCAACATGGTTAAGATATTCATTCTTTCCAATCGATCCACTGAGAAGAGTCAGTGCAGTATCAATGGAATTCCAGCAAGCAAACTAACAAGCAGATTCTAAAATTTGAATGGAAATGCAACGG